CGTTATATTTTTTATTCTCATTCTACAATAATTTGGCTCAAACGAGACCTTACAGTACAATATTTTTTATTAAGTTTAACGGTACATTATCTTAAAATTTGCTAGCACTACGAAACTCATTCCGATAAAATAATGGCATCAAAGGGGAGCTTTGTAGTGCGTGCGGTTTGGACAGTAAGTACATGAACTTTTCCTTCCATGTATCTGTTTTCATTTCCCGAGGTTTCTAGATTTTCTAGGACGGAATAATATTCTGTCACATTCGATGCTCCGTTGTAAATGATAAATTTATGGGATGTGCTAGTGGTACATAATGGGCACCATAATGGTGTCCATAATGGTCACATGGTGCCCATTATGTACAAGAAGAATAACCCTAAATTTATTGGGTGATGCTACATGTACACCTCATGTATTACACAATCATTTACACACCCTCACATGGAGGGGAGCTCACGATTATTTTATTATGTGTGGACCCCCCTCCATATGAGAGGGGTGTAAATGATTGTGTAAAGAATTATGTACACATAGCTTTATTCAAATTTATTAGTAAGTGACAATTATATCACTTGGACCTTATAAATTATTATCATTATATACATAATCATTCACTATAAATATAGGACTTTGATTCTCATTATAATACATACAAGTCTATTAACTTTTATTTTTTCTCATTTTTTCTCTCTTTTCATAACACGTTATCAGGACGATACCTTAATTTTTCAAAGTTTAGCGAAAGTAATAATTTTTTTAAAACATAATCATCTATCATGTATACCAAAATTAGTTTGATAACACGTGAATTTTATATATCACGCTTCAATCATATTAAACATTAAATCGTGGAAATAATATATATTGTTTGCCTTTTCAATACATGTCTGTGCACATCTTTTTTAATTATTTCTCTGTACATATTTTGTTTCCCAAGATTCAAATGTTGACTTCGATAGTATACTAAGCCTCTATTTGAGCCACATTATTTTTTTCATTCTCATTCTTCTACTCATTTTTAACCACACATTCTTCAATAAAATAATAGTTTTCATCACATCAATAATTTTTTCTTCTTTTTTAACCATATATTCCTCATCACATCACTTCAAAAAAATGCATTCTCTCATTTTAATGTGCACCAAATAGGCTCTAATTGAAATGATATAATATATTTTTTATGTGCTGAGAAAGATTAGAATGGTATAATATATTTTTTTGAATTGTATAATATCTTATGCGTCCATCATTATTCCTTATTTAGTCCTACACGAGGCGACTATTGTGCCAACTTGAAGTAGCACAACATTATAATTAATATTCTTGAAAAATATCACAAAACTTGAGTTTGCTGCATTTGATAAATCTGGCAAAAATTATTTGTCACGAGTACTTGATATTAATATTTATCTTATCTCAAAACGTTTGAGAAAGACAATAAAAGAAAGAAACAAATAATCTATGCAGGATCATGCAAAGGCATAAATTTTCCTTCGTCATCATCTTCTCGATAGATTGAAAATTGAATATCTCACTAAGAAATATCAACGGGTTCTTTGAAAAAAATTAACTGAAAGATTTGATCATCATATGACTATAATCCTCTTTAAACCACATTATGAATGGATGCACATTTGTCTACAAGATTTCAAAACTGTTAGTGAGTACAATTTTGAACTGTTCAAAATATGTTCAAAATTGACACTGAGTGAAGAAAAAATCACTGATGAAGATATGTTGGAAAAAACTTTTTTAACATTTTACGCCTCGAATGTGCTCCTGCAACAACAATATCGTGGGCGTGGTTTCAAAAGGTACTCAAAATTCATATTTTGCATGCTTGTGATTGAACAAAATAATGAACTATTGATAAAAAAAAATCATGGGTTCGTCTAACTGGTTCTGTATCATTACTTGAAACAATTGATATTGCATTGCCTGAAACAATTACAATATCAAGACGGGATGTGGACGTGGACGTGGACGCACATGGAATAAATCATGGACGAACTAATCAACAAAACTATCAGCAATAAGACATAATTTCAAAAGGTTCAAAGTAAACGAAAGTAGCACATCAAAGAAGGATCGTGAAGAAAATTGTTTTAGATGTTGAATAAAAGGACAATGAGCATGTACATGTTGTACGACAAAACACCTTGTGGATCTCTACCAAATATCAATAAAGGGAAAGGGAAAAGTGGAGACAAATTTTGTTAATTATGATGGTCCAGTTGATGTGACTCATTTAGATGTCTTTGGTTTCTTTGCTGATCCAAATGTGAGTATTAACCATTTGATTAGGGGTGGTGTGATGGAAAATATAAATTAGTTTACTTTCTAGTATTTCTTTTCGTTTTAGAAATTCAGAGCTTGTTTGTGAGAGATTTTGGGGGAAAAATTAATTTTGAATAGTAAACGATGGGAAATGTGTGGTTGAAAAAGAAGAAAAAATTATCGATGTGATGAAAAATATTATTTTATT